CGAAAAAACCTCACATGTACATACTGTACGTATACATCTGTGAACACGTGCTCATACACAACACCACAGCAAGTTTTCTGGGATAGTTTTAATTCTCTAGAGTTGCCGTTTATTCTGGAAGTTGGTTCTGGAATGATGGTACCAGTGTACGGTACATGTACATGTATATGTGGTAAATCCACAACAGAATTTTTTTGAAGGGAGACCAAACTTTTCTGCACCTGCACTTAGCTGTAGGAAGATAGGGCCAACAAAGTTGGATTAATTTGCCTTTCTTAGCACTGATGAGGCTTTTCACATATGCTTCTGGACGAGAAATATACCGGTCGGTACATAACGGTACATGAAATGCCTTTCATGTACCCGTACATGTACATTTCAAAACCCTGTATTTTCACCCTTTTTTGGAGGGGGAGGGGTAAGCATGGCTCTACTGTATCCCTATCTCATCTCCCGGTACCAATTTTTAGGAGATACAGTAAATGAGTGTCTCACGTTACCCATGTACATGTGCATGTATGTACATTGGCATGTTCTTAATAAAATGGACCAAAATGCAACTCCGGAGGTACATGTAATTTTTCAAAACTTCTAAAAGAGTGACTTTGATGATGTAAAATACAAATTAGCACCTTTAGATTTATAGAAATAATCATTTGGGGATAATTTGGCATAATGCGTACATTTTGTGGACATACATGTATGGTTGGCTACCAGTGCAAATCAAATGGAGTTGAATTCATTTAAAATTTTACGGTGCTTTTTTGCACTTCTTTTTAAAGCTTGTGTTGCACATGTACATTGATTTGGATTCTACTCGCTATTTTTGCAGTCAATTTTTTTGAAACTAATGACAAAATCAAATGACGTTTGTGCATGCCGACTTCGGGATCCCATTAAATGTGGGAGGTAATTTTTAATTTCATGATTATGGTTTTAATATGTGTAAACATTATCACCTTTCACCACATATAAATCTGTGTAAAATAACCATGGGGATTATCATTCCTGGTAAATTTTATTGGCTAGAATTTCAACAGGTGGTTCACGTCTTTCAAAAATGCTGACGTTCGACACTTTAATTAGTTAACTCCAATTAAGTTGAAAGATGGAGACGGTCATCATTGTTCCAGATATCAGCCATGACTTCCCTCATTACATTGGGAATTCAATCACTGCTGTTCACTTCAGGAAAAATGAACCCCCAAAGTTGAACATTATCTTATGGTCCATATTTTGAGGAATCTGCCATGTACATGTCAGCATCGCCTACTGTTCATCGGGGTAGGTCGATCAATTAAAAAACTTTATTATCAGCGTAATCCAACAATCTGCCCTTAGTAGTACTGCTGGTATGTACGTGTAGTCGTATACATGGATGAGTTTTGATTTTCATGCACATGTTATACATGTACCCGTACAGCTGGTTAGGATGGATCCCCATTAATATTTTGTTGCGATGTGGATTAAACGTAAATTATTTTGCACTGGCACTCAGCAGGTGGTGACTTTGTAAAAATGTCATTTGTGGCACTTTTATACGCGTAAATTAACTGGC